CTGTTATTCCTTTGCACCTCCAAAGCTGTCATTCTAATAGGCACATTTTAAATTTATTAATGCTCTAGTTACAATGCATACACAGTCTCTAATGGTATGTCATTCAGAGTATATAAACTGAGCAATTAACGTGTATTACCTGGTAATGGTAAAATTATTTGTTGCCCATTTGATTTTTTTAAAAAAATTTCTTTTTCTTTTGGGGGGGGCAGTAGAAGAGGGTGTTTTGTTTTTGTTTCTCCATTTAGCTGTAGAAGGAAAGAGGATGACAGAAAGAAAAAAAATTCTTTGTTTGTGGGATAGAGAGAATGAAGTCAAGAAGAAGACAATCTGATTTTCCTGTCTGTTGCCTGCCATTCCTCCTTTATTTCTCCATGGGCTGGGAAATAACTTTTCCATCAAATTTCTGCTGCTTAAGATGACAAACGGCATGGTTTTTGCTATCCCCAAATGTTGCAGTTTTTAAATTCCCAGATAAATCATGCTCAAGATTTGCTCACAACTTGCAGTGGGCCACAATGGTGCTACACCCCAGTGCAAAGCATCAAGAGGGTGCTGTGTACAATTTTTATGCTATAAATCCACGCTGTCATCCAATGCCTTGGATGAGTACTGGATGAGTTCCTACAGTATTCATACACAGAAAGTGTGTTTGGTCATACAATGGAGCAATGACACAATCCCTTACATGTATATTTGTTCCATGATTTGGGGCAATTTTCTGTATTGGCATTTTGGTCTGAAAAGAATGGAAATAAAACCAGTTATATTAGAAATGCAGATTACAGAGACCTTAAAGGGGCTCTAAATAAGAAGTGGAATAAAATAAATTGAGATGATAGACTCTTCAGATGGTAAGATGGACTGATACATTTCCAGTTTACAAATGTAAAATACTTTTTAAAAAATGTTTCTTTAAATAAATAAAGTTGTTCCACTCCTTTATATGGAAAGTGAAAAAAACAGCAAGCAAAGTACTATCCCAGGTCTTTTCATTGTATGCTACTTCAGAGAAAATGTTTAAAAACTTTTATGGGAACATTAAAAAATCATGAATACCATCTGTAGTTTGAAGGGTCATATCACTTTGCTCTGCCAAATCACCTCATCTCATCCTGGACACTTCCACATGGGACCTTTGTACCAGACTAAAATCAGCTTTGGAATTGCTTCTTCTCACTAGAGCCATGTCTGAGAGCTGAGTCAATCCCCTATGGCAAAACTAGTTCTTTGAAAAAAAATGAGTGCAGTTCTGCAGAACCTCTGGATGATCCATTCCTCTGTGGATCAGAAATGCCTTGATTCCTTTCCTTTGGCTTCATTATTCTTCACATTTTCAGCTAGATGAAATTATGAGGTTAATGACAATTTAAATTCACCAGGCTTTTGAGGGACTGGGGACTGGATGTGGTGATGAAACTGCTATGACATGGTAGGGCCCTCTGAAATCTCTAACTTGAGAAGAAGTCTGATTGTCTTTACTAGTCCTTATTTCTCACATATGTTGCTGTTCTGCAGGAGATATCCCTATGTATGTTCCCATTTTGTTTAAAACAGTTTAAGTAAGTTGGAGGTATTTTTTTTTTAATTCTTGAAAATTTAGTGCTAATTCTGCAACTTCAGCTGTGACGGCAGACTCACTCATAATTAGATACAGCACGTTTGTAATAGATTTCTTTGTGATGGAAGAAACAGTAGAAAAAGGTGTCCATGGGGTGGAAAGGTTCTAAATTGTAGGCTTTCATCAAAACGGCAAGATTCATAAACAGCAATGATTGGGTGGTATTTCCAAGCAACCGAACAATTAGGCACTCATTGACTTTTAAACAAGGTTTGAACCTATTCCCCTGTTATAAAACTAATTGCTTTCCACTCTATAAAACACTAACAGTGCAAAAATAGCAAAGAACTTTTCAAATAAAGATATGCCAGCCTTCATTCAGATTTGCTTTAGGAGGCCATGATTGTGTCATACCTTAGTTGGGCGGGTAGAAAGCCATTATCGTTTCAGATTCCCATTACATGGATTCATTTGCTTGCTTCCTAAAAATTACTGGTTAAAGGTGTTTAATCTAAAGATCATGGCTGGTTTATTGTTGGGGATGGTTGGAAGAATTGTTTTTAGAGAGCTTGAAATGAAGATCTGCAATATGTATGAAATAAATAGGTAAAAATACTTGCAAAGGAGTATAACCTGTAGAAATTGAGCAAAACTGTTTTCCTGATTACAAAATAATTTCTCACCAAAGTTTCTTAAGAGAATCTTGGTGATTATATTTCCTTGAACTTGGAATGTATTGGCATCATGAGGTACAAATATTATACAGAGACACAATGGAGCAAAATCATGAAAATATAAAGACAAGATAATAAAATCCACAAAATACAGCCTTCAAATCAATACTTATCATTGGTGCCATCAGCCAGTCCATCAACTGGAGCTGAAGACTCACTGAAATAGCACAGATCTTACTTCTTTTTAGAATATTAACAAGGTAGACATCATATAAACCTATGAAAGGAAGCTGTTCCAGCAGAGATGTCCATACGATGTACTCACAAAAATCAAGGTGGCAGCCATGTTAGAAGTACCACCTGACTTTTATGTGCATTATACATGTGACTCACATATAAAAACCAGATGCAACCTTGATTGCATTGTCAGGATACCACCTTGACTATTTTTATCATGCTTTGTGGACAACCTTGTGCTCCAGAAAATGGGAATTATCACAGAGAAGGCGTGCTTCCATTTCCTCGTGTACTTTTTGGGGAGAATATTCTTAACAGGGCCTCTCTAGATGACTGGACTGGACAGCTAGATTCAGTTCTAGCAAGGTATTAAATATGCTTTTTCTGCCTTCATTTAATCCTCACAACAACCCTATGAGATAGGTAATGTTGAGTAAGAATGATTGGCCCTAAAACACTTAGTGAGTTTTCACGGCCATGGATGTACTTGAATCTAAGTCTCCCCATTTTAGCCTTAAAGCTTAACCCACTCTGTCACATTGCTAGTTTGAATTCAGATGCTACAATCCTGATTAAAATATTGCACAAATACATACACACGCATGATCCTATATTTAGTTTGAGCCTATGGTTGATCCAATGTATGCATTTAAAACAGTTTTTTATATTACTTGTTAGTCTTGTTAGTAAATTGTACAAAATAGCATGAAGTAATGAAAAGGTACTAGAGGGGCAGAGCAGTTTAGTGTAGTGGTTAAGGCACCATCCATTATTGTAAGCTCTAATTCTACCTTAGGTACCAAGCCAGCTGGATGACTTGGGCTAGTCGCTCAGCTTTGGAAGAACGCAATGGCAAACCACTTCCCCAAAACCTTGCCAAGAAAACTGCAGGGATTTGTACAAGCAGTTGCCTGGAGTCACTGTGAAAGGGAGGGGCGGATGGAAAGATAGATTTCCCAAAAGGTACATCAAGAAAGACATAGTAATAGGCTTAGGAAGTTCCCCATCACTACTAAGTTGTTGTAAGAGATATTAAGTCACTCTGCATGGTCTATTTTTATAATATACAAAATAGTACAAAGCATGAACAATTATTTATTTCTTGATGTGAAGTCTCTTAAAATAATGATACCATTCAGTAAAAGTCATCTGTTTTGTTCAGGAACATTTATCCATTTGCTTAAACTATGAGAATTGTATTAAACAGGACTATTTTTTTGTTTTCATGAAATAGGCAGATTTTTTTCTTATGAACTGGAGAATTATTGTAATTATATCAAAGTATGAAGAGGGTTTTTTTTGTTGGAATGTTCAATTCTACTTAAACGTTAATCATTTAAGAAAAAATATCCTTAGGGGTAGCCTACTTAGCTTCATTTCTACTTTTGGATACCACTTTTGGACTTCTTGCTTGAGAAAGATTAAAAAGCAATAGCAATAGCACTTAGACTTATATACCATTCCATAATGCTTTACAGCCCTCTTCAAGCAGTTTACAGACTCAACATATTGCCCCCAACAATCTGGGTTCTCATTTTACCAACCTCGGAAGGATGGAAGGCTGAGTCAATATTGAACCTGTGAGAATCGAACTGCTCGCAGTCAGCAGAATTAACCTGCAATACTGCATGCTAACCACTACATCACCCCGGCTCTTAAAAAGGAAGTTTTAATTTTGGGATTTGATTAGATCTGTTAGAATTATAGAAATATTGTGCATTTTTATTTTTTATTATTAGACATGTATACTGTGTTCTTTCAGGTTTATTTTTAAGCTTAGAGGAAGACATTCTTTTGTTATATATTTCTAATGGTATTTTCATTGCTTACTTTTCATATTTTTATAGAATATTTTTGTATTTTTGTTTTATCTTAGCATATGCTAAAGGTTACTTGACTAAAGAAAGACAAAAGTATTTTTTCTTTTTTTTTTACTTGTCACTTTTTAAGTTTCCCCCCTTTTTGATTACTTCCCCCAATTTTAATTTTTTTGTTATTTTGTTTTTTATCTGTTTTTGAAACTTAAAATTGATTTAAAAAGAAAAATGTTTCTTAGATATAATGCTGAACTCTCAAAAAAAATGGAAAAGATAACAGAATGGGCTAAGAGTAATGCAGGTTTCCCCCTCTACATATTAATATAGGCAAATATATCTGTCAAATGAAGATAATACTGCATGCATTTGATGTAATGGAATCTGCAAACGCTTTCCCCATAACATTTATCGTTGATGCATCCCAAAAAGCAGCATGAGTTTGGAGAGTATATATTTATTTATATTTTTTTATATATGAAACTGCATACACAACTGTATATTAGCAAAATTGGAAACAGATGTGGATTTCTCAATACATAAACAAAATCCAAACATTGTTGGAAAATATGATATACAAAGCTTGCCACAGTGACATGGAATAGGTTTAGACTGACCTACACTTCTATAAAGATTCCTTTAATTAATGTTAATGGTAGGTGGCCTTGCAAAGGAATAAGAGAGAGATGCTATGTTACAAACATTGATGAATATATTCTTTTTATACAAAAAGGCTGCCATGGATCAAGGAGAACATTTGGAAGATTGTCAGCCTAAAGGGGATGCTGTTAGTAGGAGGGATTCACCTCGTTCTAGCTTGAAAGGGTGAGTACAAACATCTTGTCAATTCACTAGGTAGTCCAGTCTTACAGTGGGTGTGGTTTGACTTTTTATTTCAAACACAGGGAGATGAACTATAAATTCTTCTTACCAGCAAACATTGTGAGACTATCAATACAATGTAATCTTATATTAGATCCAAACCAATATCAGTAGATTATTCAGACATTCCAGCCAACTTTGCACTTGGCTTGAATGTTAGCTACATTGTGGTATTCGTCACTTGTTTCATTTCCTGGATTTATTTAAGAAAGCATTCTTAGAAATTCCAACAAGTACAGTTATTTTGTAAACCTTTAGTGGTTCTAATGAAATATTATCTCACATTGGTTGTTTGTCAGTGGGACTGCTTTAGCATACTCCCACCGCCCTATACTAGATTTAATTCCTGAGAGAAATGGATTTTCCCTTTTATCAGGCCAGTAATTAAAGATTGGTCCCAGATCAATATTCCACATGGATTTGGGCCTCTTTCAAAGCTCTGATTAATCAAATTACTCTATTATTAGACACAATGAAGCTATTGGCCAATGCAATTGATATATTAAGGGGCATGAGTGGGGGGGGAGGTAAATGTCAAAAAAGCCAAGATGGCCAGCCATGATGTGCCATAAAAGCCCTTTGTGCCATGCACATTTAAAAAAAGGTAGGACTTTGATCACGAGTTGCAGCAGCCATCTTGACTCTGATTGGGCAGGGTAGGCCAACAAGTACAGTCTTTGGTGTAGCCTGAGATGAGTTTGAGCTAGTGACTCCTGAGGAAGTAGGCATGGATCTCTGTGCTATCAGCTTGGTGACCTGTTTATTAGATCTACGTATCTCCTAAGTCAAAAAAACAACCAGAGAGATGACCCCCAGTTGTATACATGCCCTAGTGTCAGAAAGTAATTTGCTCTTCCTCAAGAGGCCATTCTTGGACCCAATGGTCTTTAATAACTGTTGACTAATCTCCAACCTTTCCTTTCTGGGAAGGGTTGTTGAAAATTGATTGGTCTGCAACTGATGAGAACCCTGGAGAAACAGATTATCTAGACCCATTTCAGTCAGGTTTCAAACTAGGATGTAGTACTGAGATAGCTTGGTTGTGCTTGTAGATGACCTCTGGCAGAGACTTGATGGTGATGGTACATCATTACTTGCAATTCCATCCACCACGATATCCCTTGTGATTTGGCTCTGTGAGCTGGAGAATGGAAGTACCACTCTACAATGGTTTTCTTCCTTTTTCTGGGACACATTTCAGTCAATAATGGGGGTGGGAGAAATTACTCCTTGGACTGCTCCTTTGTGAGGTAACGCAGGGTTCTATTCTATCTCTCCACTTCAATTTCTAAAGGATGAGATCATCGGCCAGTTTGGGATTTGGTATCATCAGCATGCCTCAGTAATACTGAGTGATGGCCATGTAATACCTCTATTTTGCAAGTTGCAGGTATTGCCACTTTGCCTTTTAGGGTGATTCAACCTATACAGCTGAGGACTTGATTAATTGAAGACCTCCTACCTCCCATAATACTTGCCTAGCTGGTGCATTCTGGAAAGTTTGGCATGCTCCAAGTTCCTTCAGTTAAGCAATGTTTTCTGTTGGGAGTCTGTAACAGTCTTCTCTGTAGCAGTGCCTGCCCTGTGCAATGTGATTCCCATGGGATTCAAATGGCCCCACTCTATTGGTATTTTGAAGGGTTCCAAGGATATGGCTCTTCATCCGATCTTGGAGAGTGTAACTGACACCCTTTTTCCAGTGGTGAAATCTAAAATTTGTTACTACTGGTTCTGTGGGCATGGCTTGGTGGTGGTGGTTTGGGGGGGGTAATGTGACTGGGTGGGCATGGCCAATTTTTTAAAAAACTTTTAAAACCCTTTTTTTCTTTTAAATGCCTCTGACGATCCAAGCTGAGCTGTGCGATCATCAGAGGCTTTTTTTTTTTTTACTTTTAAAAGCATTTTTTCGGCAGAAGAGGTTGTAGAAAAAATGCTTTTAAAAGTAAAAAAATAGCCTCTGATGATTGTGCGGCTCAGCTGGGCATGGGGGGGGCAGGGATTTTAGCTACCTGTTCTCTGAACTACCCGCCTCCATCGCTACCGGATCAGGTGATCCAGTCGGAACCGGGAGCATTTCACCCCTGCCTTTTTCTTCTTTTTCCATCTCACCATTTCACTGTCATTTTGTTTGTTTTTGTGTTGTGTTGTTTTGTTTTCTTGATTTTAAATATTTTTAAAATTGTTAAACTGGCCAGACTCCCTGGGGGTCAGGCACCATATAAATTTAATCAATTATTAAAATTATGATAATAAAATTATGGTTCACAAAATATTTGGAGTCATTCCTGCTTAGCTGTAAAATTATTGAAGAAGGCTTTATTTGATCAGTTAATTCTTTAATGTCTTTATTTCTATTTGAATACTCAAGGCAATATCCAATCGATTACAAACATAGCAAACAAAAACCTGTAGGATGCATTAACAATAATATAGAATTAAAACAGTTTTTGTTTGTTTTAAATATCAGACACCAACTTGATGACCAAAACTAATGTGGCCTAAGCAGATTCCCCAGTATATTTCTTAGTTTGGCCTCTTTCATGGTGGCTCCACAAGATTCGATAAGCCCAGCAGTCACCTAAGGCAGTTTTCCTAGTGGAAAATTATTTGCTTGTACTAAAAGTTTTAAATCAAGCACATCTGGAAAATACCACGTTGGAAAAGGCTGAAATGCAGAAAGGAAAGAAGGCTCACCCTCACCCCTCTTGAGCTGTAGATCTGATTAACTTCCAGGTCTGCTGTGATGCAGAAAGAATTGTTGCAAACACAGCTGCTGGGACAGAATTTCTCATTGGTAGACATTCCCCCTTGTCCAACACCTGCCTCTTGGTCTCTCCAACTCCCCACACATACAGGCCACCTTAGTGTCAAGCTATCCTCATACTGACTAGTCCCTTTAAAAATAAAAACAAAAACTGCAGGAACTAAAAATGAGAACAGGCATTTGGCATTCCCTTGTTCTTTAGCTGGAAGGAGCAGCAATCACCTTATCCAGACAGGATAAGCCACCAATAGCAAGAACAACGAACAGTCATTTTTGAAGAGTCTGTGCACATGCAGAACTATCTGAATCATTTATATTCATTTGAAGGCATCAAATTTGATTTGAATGTTCAATCTGATACCATAATTCACTGGAATAAAACGGAATCCCCAAAGAGAAGTTTTGCATAGGCATAGTGCTTATGAAATTTTCTATTCTAGTTTAAGAAGTAATTTAGCCTTCCTTTGTTGTGCTACACCATGAGTTGAGAGAAAGGGTGCTATTTGGATGCGATTTAGTTGATTCTGTGCATCAACTAAAAATAAAAGTTATTTCCTTCCTCCTTTGATATGATGTTTTTTTTTCCTCCAGTGCAAGATTTGCAATTTTAATTATTTAATTAATTCTTAAGATCAATTGACTACAGGCCTATAATAACCTCATAAAATGGTATGTGGGAATGGAATGACCTTGGGAAACGGAAGAAAAAGCCTCAAAGTAGACAATGGTCAGATATGAGGCAGTTTAGCTCACAAGAGCAATGGGGGTAGGGCAAAAATCTCAGAAGAGTCCCTCCCTAGTTTCTTGGGTTGTAAATGCAAGGGAAGAATTATGTACTTTCAGACTTGCGAGATTTTGTTAATGTAACTTTATAATAAAGTTAGAAGAAATAGTCCCATAGCATATACTGGTTCAGTATCTGATTTTTTTTTCATATAAATGATGTTGAGTTTCAATGGTTAGATGGCCTAGATATTGGTATTTGAACAGAGATATTTTTGACATTTATATTTTGTTCTGTTTTACTCATCTAGAAATGTTGCTGTGAGTGGGTTGGTTACCTCAACTCCATCAACCAATTAAGATGTAACAACACAGGCAACCAACCCGCTCACAGCAACAAAGCCAGCACCCCACAAAACTTGCATATGCAAGGTAGGCGGGAGGTATCGTCTACCGGACATCTGGAAACTAGCCCTAGTCAACAGAAGAGTCCCAGCCACGAAGATTAACACCAGACCCAAGATAACACATGCCACCACCACCAATCATCCTCACCAGATTCGAACCCAAACCCATCCCATACACAAAATACAACCACCATCCAGAAGCCAGACCACGGCGGCATCACCAGCTGCTGCACCCCCCTCCAATCCCCACACAAAGCAAACTGACACACTCCATGAACACATGGCAAGACCCCAAACTTGTAGCCAAACCAAAGCCCGGGATGTGGCATCACAGCCATCTGCTCAGGACATCAAAAAACTCAGGATATCACAACACTAGAACTCAGGATGTTAACACATAGCCCATTACCCAGGTCGTTAAAACACAAAAAACTAATGGGCACACATCAAGGACCCCACCCACACAGGATGTTACGAAACAGCTGACTAATCTGCAAACATCAACTCCATCAACCAATCAAGATGTAACAACACAGACAACCAACCCGCTCACAGCAACAAAGCCAGCACCCACACCTCCCCACCAGTATTTATAGAGAGACGGCAGCTCCGATCACACTTTGCTCGCATAGGCACGAAGCCGAAGGAACCAGCCTGAAGATGACAAGTGGGACCTCGTTAAAACGTTGCCATGATACTCTCAATCTTACACGGGAAAAGACCCGAATATACCAAAACTTGCATACCTCTACCGGTAAAAATCTATGAAAACAATATTTTATTTTTTATTATATATATATTATATATATAATATTTATTATATATATCCATGTATGATATGCCATATGATGATGATGATAATAATAATAATAATAATAATAATAATAATAATAATAATAATAATAATAAATAGTTCCAGAAATGCTTCTTGATCAATTGTGCTATATTCAAAGACTTTTATTGAGTTCACACATGTGTTTAACCACAGAGGTGTTTGTTTTTGGTTTAGTGTGGCCCAAACATCCATATATTCTTGTTTGGAAACCAAT